GCGCGGCGGGGAGAACACTCGTGCTCACGGTGAGTGAGAAGGAAAAGGCAAAGGCCCTTGGCAGCTGGGGGCTGCGCCTCGGAGGACACCTTCCTGGCCGATGACAGTCATCAGCAGTGGCGCGACTGTCGCGTCCCAGAGGAACGTCACCGTCTCCCTTATGCAAACCCGCGGGCACAGGGCTGGGTGGGGACAGTTGCGTGATCGCTGAATTTCCAAAACGGTGACGACTTCTTATTTTAAGGAGTTGTCATTTCAGCCCTAGAAAGTCCTGCTCTTTAAAACGGGAAGCATGACAGGCTCAGGTTTACTGAGGACCACTTCCCGCGTAGAGAGTATTTTCTTAAGAAGTGATAACTGCTTTCTGTTCCCTAGTTTGCTGGTTTCCGCCACCAAACTCCTCTCTCTCCTCTGTCACTGAAAAGCCAGCCTTTCCGAGGCGAGCGCCGCTGATCGTGTCTCTGGTTTCCCTTTGAACAGAACTGGGCCCCCCACCCCAAGCAGGATGAAGCTTTTCTTCGTAGAACCTGCCATTTGCCTCAGCGCATTTGCGCTGACTTTGACCTCTCCCCTGACGACGCAGTACGTGTACAGGAGAATATGGGAAGACAGTGGCAACTACAGCATGGCCTCGGCCAGCAACGTTTCTGACTGTGATAAGAACAAGAGCAGCCCGATTTTTGCATTCCAGGAGGTAAGAAATTAAAATAGCCCTAAGATGCGATGAAAAGGAACGTGCGGTGGCTTTCACACGAACCGCCACCCCAGGTGGGTCTCGGGCAAGGATCGCGCGAAACTCCTGGCTCCCAAGCCAAGAGCCTTTTCCAGCTCGCACCCTGTTTGACGTTTCCTAACACCCGTAACCTGCCAATGCCACTTGAAACCCCTTGCTGTGACACTGGCTCTTCTTTCGGAAAATTTCAGCGCAGTTTCATCTCTTCTGTGGCTGTCTCTTTCCTCCATCCCCCAGCTCCAAAAAATTTATTTAAAAGCCTGAGAGTTGGGCCAAGGCCAGCGCCAATGAGTGTTCTGTGGACAGGGTCTAGGTGACACTTGGTGCTCTTGCCTCTCCCTGCTCTTCCTCCCTGCCCCCTTCCACAGCACGTACATGACCCCTAACTGAAGCCTGTGGGGCCAGTCTTTGTCATGGGGTGGAAGGGGGGACAGCACTGGTCAGTCATCCCTTGGTGTCATCAAATCGGCTTGGACTCCCACGCGTGAGCCCATCCTGGGTGGAGAGCGCTCGCTTTTTCTCTGAGGACACTGAAAATGTTTCCTTCATTCTCTCCTCCCCCAATTTTTACCTTGCTTAAAAGAGGAGATACTACGCCACCATGCTCTTGTCCCCTTAGGCCGTTCTTAACAAAGCCCACCAATTCCCAAATGCAAAGGAGATGGCATCTAAATTTGGAATGTTTTTCCCCACAGTGCCTCAAAAACAAACCACACTTGTAAACTTTGAACTCTTCCCCTTGGGAATATTTTATGATGGCGAAAGGACTAGAAGAGTTTAAAGAAATGGCGGTCACCTGCCCGCTGGTGCTAAGACGATCTCCCGGGTGGAAAAGACTTCAGGTGTGACTGGGGGAGGAGTCTCAGCACTGGAGGAAATGGCAGAAGGCCTGAGAAGGAAGGGGCTAGCACTTCCCCAGGTGTCCCCCAGGCGTCCCCCAGGTGTCAGGCATACCCCGGCTGGGGTGAGGCCCGGTTCTTTGACACAGCCCCTGCTGTGACTCATTTCTTCATTTCCACGGGAGAGATTTCTCTTGGAACGGATCATTTTTGGGCAGCCATGCGGACATCCAGGTTCTGGACGGAAGTGAGGTCATAAAAATAGAAGGGCCAAGGTGTCACCTCATGGTTTTGCCACCCAAAAATGTTTCCTATGATATACATGTCATCCCTGGGGAGTGAGACGGTTCAACAGGCTCACCAGACCCCTGGGAGCAGAGAGGAGATGGGGCAGAGGACTAGACATGGGGAAGCTCGGCTGCCTTTGCCCCCTTAGAGAGAGGGGAGACAGGGCTGGGTCCAGCCACCTTGGTGGCCTCCTATGACTAGGCAGGTGATGAGTATCGGCCCCTGGCCTAACCCAGCCACTGAGAGCCACCCCCACTGCCCAGAGAGGTGGCCTTGTTTATAATTAATTGACTGTTGTTTCATTTATTGGTTTTTAATTGGCATTTATTGGTTTTTAATTGGATTACTATTCAAGAGAACATACTGTCCCAGACCCCTTCCCTTAAAGTTGGTGCTCCAGAGTGATAGGTGCTTTTTCTCCAGAGTGATAGGTGCTTTTTCTAGGTCAAGAGACTAGAAGCCACCCCTCCCCCACCCCAGCTGGGACAGCGCGTGGCGATGGCGGCCCTCTCACAGTTTGCTCCTTAGGGCAGACAGACATTTTTCTTCCCAGGAGGCACCACCATCATCTTCAGCACTTCCTTCTGGCGCCTTTTGTGGACACTGTCCCTGCTCAGTTTCTCTTAGAATATTCTCTTCCCTTTGTATCCAAGAACAAATGTTCCCTGTACCCTGAGTTTCTGTCTCAATACCCAGTTCTGGCCACTTGCTCTCTAAAAGAAGTATAGGGGTTTGTGGACTCTTTTTGTAACTCTAAAAATAAGAGATGTCAACAAAAACATAAAAGGGGAGAGGGTAAAGGTCTGAATTTGCATGGGGAACAGAGATAGAATGCAGTCAGAAAAAGGACTACTGTATGTATGAAACTTCCTTTTACATAAACCTAATGATAACCACAAAAAAATCTAGAACTGAGATACAACATAAAAAAGAGGAAACAGAAGAAAAAAAATCGTAGAATACCATTAAAATAAGATAACAGACAGAAACACAAGAAAAAGAGACAATGCAGACACAGAGCTACCAGAAAACAAAAACAAAAGATAAAATGGCTACAGAAAATCCTCATCCATCGATAATCACCCTAAATGTAAATAGACAGAACTCACCAATAAAAAGGCAAAGAGTAGCAGGTTAGATCAGAAAACAAAAGCCAACCATGCGCTGCCTTCGAGAGACACATCTCAGCTGTAACGACAAATATAGACTCAAAGTGAAAAGGTAGAAAATGATACTCTAAGCAAATGGCACCCAGAGAAAAGCTGGTGTAGCTACACTCATATCTGATAAAATAGATTTCAAGATAACAAAGGTAACAGACAGACACGAATGGATATTTTATGACGATACATCAAGAAGATATAATATTTATCAATATAGTTACACCCAAGCAGGTAACACCTAAATATATAACGCAACTACTAACACTACGAGGGAGAAACTGACAAAAACACAATTATAGTAGGGGACCTAAATACCCTTTTAACAGCTATGGACAGATCATCCAAACAGAACATCAATAAAGAAATCACAGCCTTAAATGACACATTAGACCCAATGGACATAATTGACATTTACAGAGCCTTCCATCTCAGAGCACTAGGTTATATAAGCTTCTCTAGTGCACACGGAACATTCTCAAGGGTAGACCATATGTTGGTACACAAAACTTGCCTCAACAAATTTAAAGAGATAGAAATCATACCAAGCAAATTCTCTGACCAGAGCACTTTGAAATTGGAGATCAGCTGCAAAAAGAAAGCAGGAAAAATCACAATTATGTGGAGATTAAACAACACGCTATTAAACAATGACGGAGTCAAAAGAGAAAGAAAACAAGAGATCAAATGACACCTACAGACAAATGAAAATGACGCTACAACATGCTAGAACTTTTGGGGTACGGCAAAAGCGGTAATAAGGAAGTTTGTGCATTACAGGCCTGTCGTGAGAAACGAGAGAAATCCCAAATAACCTCAAAGAACTAGAAAAAGGAGAACAAAAGGAACCCAAAGTCAGGAGAAAGAAGGAAATTATAAAAGCTAAAGCAGAAATGAGCAAAATAGAAAACAAAAAGGCAATAGAGAAAATTAATGCAACAAAACGCGAATTCTTTGAAAAGGTTAATAAAACTGACAACCCCCTGGCTAGACTCACGAAGGAAAAAAGAGAAAAGACTCAAATAAACAAAATTGGAAATGAAAGAGAAGTTACGACAGACACCACAGAATATACAAAGGTTCATAGAAGGCTACTGTGAAAGGGTATAGCCATCAAATCAATAACCTAGAAGAAATGGACAAGTTCTTAGAAACATACAACCTTCCTAGACTGAATCATGAAAAACTGCAAAATCTAAATACACCGATCCACAGTAAAGAAATGGAAATAGTCACCAAAAACGTCCCCAAAAGTAAAAGTCTAGGACCAGAGGGCTTCACCAGTGAATTCTACCAAACACTCACAGAAGATTACATGCCTGTTCTTCTCAAACTCTTCCAAAAACTTAAAGAACGGGCAATACTTTCTCACTCATTTTATGAGGCCAACATTTATTTCTCTGATACCAAAACCTGTCAAGGATGACACACGATATATTACAGATCTGTACACTTGAAACCCATATAATTTTATTAACCAATGCCACCTCAATAAATTTAATTTTTTTTTTAAAAGGTGTCATAGCACAGGGTCAGTAAATGAATGAATGAATGAATGATTTTTTTTCAGCTCAGATTTTCTTGCCGCTCCCCCGAAAGATCAACTGTGTGCAAGAAGCACGCATGATACAACACTTCTTCCTGCGACCCCATATTTCCTCACCCTTCCTACGTAATAAATATACGTACGTGTACGTGTATTGGAATAAAAGGTAATATGAATTTCGAGGTGCAGATATCAGAGTAAACTGAGCTCTTTCACTTCTAATTGACATTTGACAAGTCTGTATGGATGAAAGTCTTACTTTCAACCCATTTGGGGTTGAGAGATGTGTAGTAGGTGCATACTCATATATATAAATATCGTTCCAGCCTATTTGTCACATCGTCAGGTTTTCTGAGCCCCGTGACTGCGGCTCGCCCGCATACTTCTCTCGGGCAGCGATGTTAACCTCTAAGGACCTCTTAACAAAATGGGGAGGCTGTGGGATGAACCTCTGGCTGAGGGTGGAGAAGCGGGACACTCAGGCATGTTTGCGGACTTCTGTGGAGGAAGGAACGTTGACTCCCTCACCGCTCCCTCCTCCGCTGTTCAGTGATTCATTCTGAAGTGTTCAGTTGGCCGTCAGGGTCGATGCTCCTCAGATAACTTTCAGGAGAGGGACTTTGCTCCTGAAGAGGGCTCCTTCGGGTTATCCGGCAGATGATGGCACTGTTCTCGCTCAAGAATTTTTTTATAACACTGACACAATCCCTTGTTTCCAGCGGGTAAGGAATGCTTTCTATTCAATTGGACTGAATATCTATGTTTTGGCCCGTGGAATTGTGGCTGCTTTAAAACTGATCTTACTTTCCTTCGTTTATCCCTGTCGCCGTACCCCGTCATTCTGTCACTCCTGAGCAGCAAACAGCACTTTCTTTACCCTGCTGTCTCCCATTGACCCGTATGGATTACGTAATGATAAGTCTCCAGAGTTTAAAAGGTACACACACGACTGTGCCTCAGCTTTGACTTGTGATTAAAATATACTTTGAGTCTGTCTTCGTTAAAATCTGTGTTTTGAAACAGGCTAGCGACGAGGAGCACGGCCTGTGGGAAAGATGGCAGAGAGAAAGAAGACAGGACTCGGGCGGGGGAGGGGGAGGGGGACCCCAAACCAGAACATCTTGTGAGAAGCTGACTTTGAGATAACTGCTTCGTTTATTTATTTATTCGAGGACTATTTACTCGATGGTTACTCTATCTGTAGGAATACAAAGATGTGCTCAGGAAGCCTGAGCTCATAAAAATGAAACAGCTGAAATGGATTAAGCCCTGATGTGTATTAGGGCCTCGTGCCCAGCTCGTTACATTTACTTTAAATTTAACTCTCACGACAGCCTGCAAGGTAGGGGCCGTTGTTGTCCCCTCGTCGGGTGAAGAAGCTATAGAAAGAAATAATTTGGTCAGGATCACATGCAGTTAGCAAGTTCCAGAGGCATATTTTACATGATTATTCATTCATCCGGTCAATACTGGGTGTTTGCCCTATGCCGAGCACTGTTCTAGAAGCTGGCAATGCTGTGGTGAAGAGGATGAGGCCCCAGCACTCCTGGAGCGCAGGTCGTAGAGGAGAAGGCACACGACGAGTGCATCGATCAAAATATCATGTTCTGTCAAGGAGCAGTAAGTCTAAGGAAAAACATGGCAGGATAAGGCAAGAGTGTTGGGCAGGGTCGGGGGACTTGCTGTGGACGAGATCGGTCATAGCAGGCCCTCTGAGGAGGTGACACTGAATTGAGGAAGTGAGCTGTGTGACAGGCAGGCAGAGAGAAAAACAAGTCCGAAGGCCAGTGAGCACGGGGTGTAAGGAAGTGGCATGAGGAAGTGGAGGTGAGTCAAGAGAAGTCGTGATTCAGGGCCACCCATGTCACGGCAAGGAGGTGGATTTAGTCCTGTGTAAGGACAGCCGCGGTGGGGGCGGGGCGGTGAGCAGGGGAGTGATGGGGGCTGATGTGTGTTTTGAAAGATCATTCTAATCGCTGGTAAAGAACTGGCTGGGTTTGAATCCAGCTTTGTCTGCCGCCAGAGCTCAAGCTCTTGATCGTTATGGCCAAAAGCAGGACCTGGAGATGAATGACAACTGCCACGTGAGAAGGCTCCGAGGAAGGAGGAAGGAGAGATGACATCTGCTGGCGACTCTGAGGGACATCCAAGTTGGACTGTGCCTGGAACAGAGAGACTACTGGGGGAGGGAGTGGGGACGATGCTGAGAACTGAGGTTGACCACATCTCGGAGGGTGAACGCTCTGGCGGGCAGTGGGGAGACATTGAAGGCACAGGAAGGCGAAGGACACGTGGAGCGGGTCCTCCTTTGGCAAAGTGAGATGCCAGAGTAGTTCAGGTGAAAACTAATGAAGGCTGTCACGCCGGTGGCAGCCACGGGACTGTAAGGGAGGACGGGGGCCTGGCAAACACGGGGTGGGCGGGACAGGCTGTGTCACGGGAGAGGGAAAGGCCAGCACCGGGACAGCTAAGCTCTGTGTCCGAGTGGCGAGAACAGCTCCTGGCAACGTGGAATTGCTTGAATGACAGGAATATATAATAATAAAAATGGGCTCGATACTTTAAAAAAACATTAATTCAGTATTTGATATTTTCGTGGTTCCTCGGTTGTTTGGAGTGCTTTCTAAATATTGCACGAATAAATCTTTTTAAAAAAATGAGCTTAAGAATCCCCAGTATAAGAATGCACATGCTCTTTCTATAAAATCCGGGAAATACAGAGAAGTGGCAAGCAGAAAATGCTACCCATCGCCCCCGATTCTTCCCGTCAATGACTAGCATCACAGCTGTCACAGCTGTTAACCTGTGTGAGTTCACAGTTGTCTCGGTCCTCAGGTCACGATACGCTACCGTTTTTAATCAGTGCAAAACTCCTCTTTGGGCTTTATCTTAATGTTTAGTAAGTACAGGAATAAGTTTGTCATCGATTTGGAGACCCATGTAAAAAGGACAACCGAGCTCTTCCTAAATTACGGCCTGCCACACAGGAGTAAGTATGACACCGCTGGTACCCGTTCCCCTTCAGAGCAGACAGAAAGACACCTCTCGGGGAAGGGTGACGCGCGGGCGAGAACGCACATCTGCTCTCTCAGTGCTAAGTGTTCATATGGGAAAAAGCTCACATCACCACGGGGTCCCCGAGGCCTGGGGGTTTGTGGACCCCTGTGTGCGACAGACACACACCGACACAACACGCACGCTTTTATCTCTGTGGTGAGCGTGCCCACGCGGTCCTCGACTAGCACGCGTGGGCGATGACGTCGCTTCTTGGTGGATGCTCCGCGAACGGGGTGAGGGTTCAAGTTGCACCCGACCCACGTGCCGGGCGCCCCGCCCGCACCTCCTGGCCCCAGGGACAAGAGCACACGCTGTGCCGGTCCTGTGTGCATTATACAAACCTCTGTTAACAAGGTCTTCATTTTCTTTGCAGGAAGTTCAGAAAAAGATGTCTCTGTTTAATCTGCAGATAGACATAAGTGGATTAATTCCCGGTCTGGTGTCCACCTTCATCCTTCTGTCTCACAGTGATCGTCGCGGACGAAAATTCCCTTTGATTCTGTGTTCCGCCGGAGCTCTGGCGACCAGCATCTGGCTCTGTTTACTGTCCTATTTTGCCTTCCCATTCCAGCTTTTGATTGCATCTACCTTCTTTGGGGCACTTTGTGGCAATTCTATCACATTTTTCGGAGCCTGTTTTGCCTACATCGTTGATCAGTGTAAAGAAGAGAAACACAGAACGATTCGAATAGCCCTCACTGACTTCTTACTGGGACTCGTTACCGGGCTAACGGGGCTGTCTTCTGGCTACTTCATTAGGGAACTGGGTTTTGTGTGGTCCTTTTTCATTATTACCGTGGTTCTCACCGTTAACTTGATTTATATCGTGTTCTTTCTCGGCGAGTCAAGGGAAGAGTCTCCGTTTCAGAACGTTTCCGTATCGTGTTATGAAGGCTTTAAAAACCTATTTTACCGAACTTACATGCTTTTTAAAAATGCTTCTGGTGTGCGACGGTCCTTGCTCTGTTTGCTGCTTTTTACAACGATGACTTATTTTTTCATGATAATGGGCGTTTCCCCCATTTTTATTCTCTATGAATTGGACTCTCCGCTCTGCTGGAATGAAGTTCTCATAGGTTACGGATCAGCTTTGGGTAGCGCCTCGTTCTTGACTAGTTTCCTCGGAATATGGATTTTTTCTTACTGTATGGAAGATGTTTACCTAGCCATCATGGGGACCCTCACCACCATGGCGGGAATGGTGATGACTGCTTTTGCCAAAACGACATGGATGATGCTTCTAGGTGAGTGACAAATGGAGCCTTTGAACTAACTGTGTATTTCAGGTTTATAGAAAATGAATTTAGTCTGTTGGGTGAGAAACTTTAACATAAAATTCTCTATTTAACGGTCTTGCTTAATTAAAAGTATGTTGTTTAAAGAGCTAGTCTGACAGAAGCCAAGCACCAATTGCTTAAAACAATTCACTGAATAACCACAATTTTCCAGAGTTGCATATTAGCCCCCAAATTTTGTTTTGAGGAACATTGTTCTCATGAATCAATTCTTCAATACAACTTTCACCGAACGGAGTATTTCTTAAAATGCTGCTCAGAAGGCTACTTTCTATCAAAATGTTAAAGGCAATTATATAAAGTATATTCAACAAATCTATTAGAAAAATTCATATCCATCGAATAGATTCAAGAAGGGAATTCTGAAGGTTTTGCAAACTGATCTTCCAGCATATTGGTCATTTCATCAATTGACTTTTGATGGATCACGTTTTGGCAGACGGGACCGCTTCCTTACCCACCTGCCTCATAAGTGGTTTTTGTAGGGCTTGAGTGAGATGCTGCATTTGAAGGGCCAAGAGATACGGAAACTGGGACTCTGGGAAGGGTCCACTGTAGTCTCCGTCTGTGAAGGCAGTGTTAAGCTCTTGTTACCTTGCAGAGAAGCAGGGCGACCAAACAGAACCCAGCTTCATTTCCATCTCTCGCACTAGGTGATCTTGGCAAGCTGATTAAGTACTCTGAGCCCTCGTGTTTTCATCTGTGAAATGGGCACAGTGCTGTCTAATGCAGGGTTAGGACGAATGTCAGAAGAGATCACTGCACAGCAGTTAGCACGATGCCTGGCAGCCGGTGAATGCTGGTTCTTCCGCACAGCTGCCAAGGCCAAATAAGCCAATACACGTGGAAACACGCCGGAAACTTTTAAGTAATCTGCAAATGTACTGTCTTACTATTTTATCCTAGACCTAAAAATACTACTGACCGTTAAGGGTGGTAATTGACGGCCAGAGGCGATTTGTGTCCGTGAAGTTATTCGGCCACAAAGATGAACGCGCAATAAGATAAAGAACCAATTGATCAATAAATGAATCGATATAATAAAAGAATGCTGACGCCCAAAATACCAGGTCTGAAAAATCAAAAACAGAAAACAAACAGGAAAAAACGAATTAAGTCACAATTTGCCACACGAGAGGTCACTACGACAGCGGGGCAGAGGGGGGAGGGGTGGGCGGGGGGAGGTCCGGTCTGACCTAAGGCTTCGGTGAACTCTTGTTCTCGCCCCGGAATAAGGTGTTGCCAGTAAAGTCACCTTGAACTAACCCATCTTTGTCTATCCTGATTCATTAAATAGAAGCCTACAATTAACTCCGTCGTTAGAGGCAGTGAGTTGGGAGGCTTGTAGAAAATGACATGTTTAGCGAGAACGTGTTTCACGTCTCAAACTTCTGACCTAAGGCTTCCGTGAACTCTTGTTCTCGCCCCGGAATAAGGTGTTGCCAGTAAAGTCACCTTGAACTAACCCATCTTTGTCTATCCTGATTCATTAAATAGAAGCCTACGATTAACTCCGTCGTTAGAGGCAGTGAGTTGGGAGGCTTGTAGAAAATGACATGTTTAGCGAGAACGTGTTTCACGTCTCAAACTGACAATTTGTTTTCTGATTCCCGACCATTTCTCTCACAGTCAGGCTGCCCTTCCTTTTCACATTCGTGCCGCTGTCTGTGCTACGGTCCATGATGTCAAAAGTGGTTCATTCTACTGAAATAGGTGAGTTTAATTTGCTTAAGGAGTGTGATGAACCCACAGTCTGTACCAGCTCAAATCTATGCACCGTCAACGTTTGAGGCTTTTGAATCAAGTGGTAAGTTCAAGGTTAGGAAGAGGCTTCTATTCTATTAGGGCAAGGGAGCCTGTGCCCGGGGCTCGTGCTTTGGGACACTGCCTCCGGCCGGGCCCCACCCCGAGGGGAGGGAGGCCTAAGGGCCAGGCGGATATGCCCTTCAGGAGCCCCCAACACCTCTGCCTTTCAGACTCCACTTTGGGTTCCTGGGCCCCCGTAACTCCCAGCCAAAGAGCCAATCTGGGCTCATGTCTAGTAATGCCTGTGTGACCCCCTTCCTCAGGCCCTTTCTCCCGAGGGAGGGCTGTGACCTCAGTGTGCTCACCGCTAGACCAAGGGGGTAGCCACACAGGGACCTTTTATAGATCTGGCCTGACCTTGGAGTGTCTTCTGCCATGGGCAAAGGACCCCTTCCAAGCAGGATGGAGCAAGAGGGAGAACACAGTACGGGTGGCCCACAGCCCCCAGTGGGGAACCAAGGGCCGAGAGCCAGCTCACCTATGCGGTCAGGTTCCTACATGGAACCCTAAAAGCTCTGAGAATTCTAAGTGTGTGTCCGACCTTCCAAATCATTGCGAAGGTATATTTCTCAGAGTCGGCAGACAGAACACATCTCCGTTAACAGTTTATTAGTCAGAATTATAACTTTTAAATACGTAGACTATCGCATGTAGGCCTCTAACTGGATTCTCATGTTGGACTTGAATCAGAGGCCTAGCAGAAACAGGCCCCACTCGGCTGGTTCAATTAGGAGGCGCTAATGAAAGACAGCGGAGAGATATGGGGAGTGTGGGGGTCCCAGCGAGGAGGAGCGGGGAGCGGAGAAGAGACGTCACAGTCCCCCTCTCCTCTTTCATCCCATCGGCCAAGTGTGGCTGGCAGTCAGGCCACTGGGGAGGTCCACGTCACGTCGTTTGTGGGGTGAGCCTCCCAAGTATAGAGCAAACAGTCCAAGAGGGCAGAGAATAACCAGTCCCAAAGAAACGAAAGTTAAATTTCCAGTTAGAACCAGTTGCTAGTTAGGTATCAGGCATGTGAGGTTATCCTCGTTCCCCGTGGTGTCACACGGGTATCGTCAGACCTTGGAGCTTTCTTCTGTTTCGTGCCTCAGCCTGGTACAGATGTTCGTATTAACTGTCTATGAATAATTCACAGTTAATGCTATTCTACTTACGGTAGTTTAGTCAGTGCTGGGGAAGACTGCATAATTCAGCAAATTAAAAAAAATACATTTCTTGATTCTTTTCCACTCGAAAGTTGTAGCTGGACAGTCACGCAGCTGTTTATAAATTATTGGTGATGACTAGCTGGAAAACCACTTAGGAATATAGAAACGAGTGAGTACAGTATGTAAAAATCACTTGCTTCCTTGGATTCTGCAGTGGTTTCTTAGCTGTGGCAGCAAAGCACAACGACAGAAGAAAAAACAGAAATGAGACTTTATCCAAACATAAAACTTGTGTGCTTCACAGACCACCACGAAGAAAGTGAAGACAACCCACAGAATGGGAGGCTAGTTTTGCAAATCACATGTCTGAGAAGGAATTTGTATCCAGAATATGTGAGAACTCATAAAACTCAACAGCAGAAAAGACAACCCAATTAAAAAAAAATGGGCAAAGGGTTTGAATAGACATCTCTCCAAAGAAGGCCAATAAGCGCATGAGAAAAACGCTTGACATCTTTAGGGATCCGGGGAATGCAAACCAAAACCACGACAAGACCCACTAGGTGGGCTAACATGAAAGAGCCAGTGCTGGTGAGGATGAGGAGGAGATCCCGCGCACGGTGCGGGCGGGAAAACTGAACGATGCAGCCATTCTGCAGAAAAGACGCGAAAAGTTAGAGTTACCTTATGACTCGGCAATTCCATCCCTAGGTGTGTACCCAGGAGAAGTGAAAAACGCATGTCCCCATAAAACCCTGTATGCAGATGTTCACAGCAGCATTATTTATAACAGCCAAAAGGCAGAAGCAATGCAAACATCCATGAACTGATGAATGGATAAGTGAAACGCGATGTGTTTTTGCCAATGAAAAGAAATCAAGTACTGAGAGATGCTACGACCTTGAAACTGTCATGCCAAATGAAAGGAGCTAGTCACAAAAGACCACGCGTTATATAAACATGATTCTACGTATATGAAATGTTCAGAAAAGGCAAATCTTTATCATAAAGACAGAAATTAGGTTAGTGCTTTGAGGGCCTGGGGAGAAAGGGAGTTTCTTTTTGGGGTGACGAAACGTTCTAAGCTTAGCGTGTGGCCCGAGTCTGTGAACGTACTCAGAGTCACTGACGTGTACAATTTAAGAGGCTGAGTTTTATATCTCAAGTTGTTTGAAAGGGGGAAAAAAATCTGCCTGCTTTGACTTAGAGCTGCAACAGATTTGTCAGAATATTGTTTATTTTTGTTTATAGTTGGTTTCATGTATTTATAAAGGCTTTTAAAAAGTCATTCCACGTTGTTAAATACAGTGACATTTTTAAATGTTCAGTATACTTTTTGGCATTTCCTACTCTGAACTGTGATAATTTTGTGAACTGATTCCATTGTTCTAGAAAAAAAATATATAATTACTTTGTTCTCAGCTGCAAACTAATATACCCCTTTGATGGTGCTGGCGTTTCCATAACCAAATATATTCCCATCCATTTTGTTTAAAATGGGATATTTTTTGAAGATGTTATGCACTTGAAAATAATAAGGGAAATCTGCAGAAGGTTCCAGATGCCTCTCACGATCGCTATTATCTGAAATAAGAGGAGAAAACTGGATTTGGGTAATGACTTTGAAATCTCTGTGCCCCATACAGCTATGAAACTCATAGCTAAAGCCGGCCTGAACTACGTCTTACCATCGCCTGTGAAGTCCCTGTCATTATAAATTGGAACCCAGTAAAAACAGATTTGACTTTTTGAGGTCTAGCGGAGTAAAGAAAAGTTTAGAAAACAAACTGAATTGCACTTCTTACAGCATCCAGTTTATCCCTGACAACTGGTCCAGGTCGAACTGCTCAGGGAGGTTCGGCCACGAGCTAAAGCTCCCTCCTAAGCATGTGGTGTCTGTGTCAGAACAGATGTGGCAGCGCCTGACCAATTTTCCGTGAAGAACAGAGTCAAGCCATCGCCCAATGGGATCAGAACGACACGGTCTGTCCTTTGTGGCACTGTTCCTGGTTGTAGCAAGGGACCGGAAATCTGAGAACTAACGATATAGCTACACAAGTAGGATAACTTCCTCCCAGTTGAGCTGACTTAATGCGTCATCGAGTCAGAAAGGCAGTAAGTCTCTGTGCTACTCGGTGATCGTTAACCGGGCTCGAGTTGACCTTTTATTCCTTCATTTGACAAATATGTATTAAATGTCTACCATGTGCCAAGACAGCTAGGCCCTGGGGACACAGTAAACACAGTAGAAATGCACTTGGCACTGACGGAGCTTTCACTGTAGTCAAAAGAAGACACGTACATGAAAACACAGTATTCTGCAGAGAAATGTTTATGTTTTATGAACGTGTGTCTTATTCAATGAAGAATTTGAAGCAAAGTATGAGAATATGTATATTCGAATGAAGAGTTTAAACTGACAAAAATCAGTGCACAGTCTAAAAAATCAGGACCGTGGGGAATATTCAAAATAGACATATAAACTATAATCCAGTTATGAAAGGTGACCCTCAAGTTTGCCTTTTCCTATCAGCCCAGTCAAACACAATTTATTTACATGATCCGTATTGTTTATAAGAAAAATGTATTACAATTTATCATGGAAAAGTAAACTTGGCAAAGTAGGGAGTGAGCACAGTGGCTTCATGATAGGGGCTGTGGACACGATATGGGAACATTCACCGAGGACGTCACGAAGAGCTGACGACAGTCACAAAATTTAGTATCTGCTGATGGAAAATTTGACAAAGAAGAAGAAAAGTACATAAAGATGCCCAGCCTGCCTTTCAGAAGTTTAACTGTTCAGTCACTATGCTCTTGGACTCCACCCCAAACCAAAACTTGGTAGAATAATGGCCATTTTGCTCCAATTACGAGCATGGACTGACTGTGGTCTTCCCATCAGCGAACCTGGCATGTAGCAAGTGTGAAGGGCAGCAGAATCCCCACTCTTCCTGATGCTGTAAGCCGCCCCCAAGAGCAGGCGGTGTCAAGTAGGCAAGAGAGAAAAATGTTATAATCCCTTAATGTCAAACCTTCACGAGAGCACAGTTACTTGATGAGTCGAATGCAGACGAATCTTCTGGTGACTGAATCTTTTTGTCGCTATGGAGGGAGGGATCAAGTTCAAATTGGAGCATGTATGATAAAATTCTCTCTCGCTGCACCTGTCGCTCTTGCCAGATCTGAGAAGCAGATGGAAAGGATTACTTCACCTTTCAAAAGGCCTCTGGGAGTGGGGGGATTTTGCTGCTAAGAGCCGTCTTGCCCATATGGGGTGTGTCACAGATTATCATGGGGACAGAGAGGGGGATGCATCTTCTTGAACCTCAGGGCTGCTAGTTGTGGCTCTGCAGACTTCCAACGCGACAGCTTCAGTGCCTTTGACCTTCATCCTCTTTACACTGGAACTGTGCTTCGCTCTGCGCCATTTCACATAAGGGACTCGAGCCTCCGCGGGGTTTGTTATCTGCAGAGGTCCTGGACCCGCAGCTCCGCGGATACCGAGGGAAGACCGTAGCTGAGGTTTGGGGAGTCAAAAGTAAGGTGTACGTGGATTTTTCGGCTGCGCCAGGGACCGGAGCCCTAACCCCCGCTATGTGGTGTTTTCGATGTCTGTCGCGTGAAGTCCAAGGAGGACCCCTGACCTCAGTTTCTTCGGCCACGAAGTGGGCGACCGATGCTTGGGGCTCTGAGGGAGCATCCTGTGCTCTCCAGGCGGTGCCCCCCGTGCTCGCTCTTTTTGGTGAATAACGGTGTTCTCCGTTAGTTTTTTTGTCGTTGTCGTGTAAACTCAGCCTTTTCTTTTCCTCTCTCCGTACCCCGATACACACAGGTGCCCTGTTCGCTTGTACTGCTTTCTTAGAAACACTGGGCGGAACCATTGCAGTTTCTACTTTCAATGGAATTTACTCCGCCACGGTTGCGTGGTCCCCAGGCTTCGTCTTCCTGCTGTCGGCCGCTCTGTTACTCATCCCACTGGCCAGTCTATGGTATGTACCTACTTTTACTCATTTTATCAGAGGAGAGCCGGATTCGATCAATGCCTAACCCCACCAGTAAAATTAGATCGATGTGTTGGAGTTTGGCCTCAGAGTGTACTTTTCTCAAGAACTTTTACATGTGAAGACATCTGTCAGTAACTCTGGAGACGTAGGAAGCAAGAGAGTGACATGGCAGACCAGAACCAGGAGGAGGATTGGGTTAGAGAGAGACTCTGAGAAGTTGCCCCTGTCTCTTTAAATATGAACGACTGATTAGATTTGCATGCAAGAAGAGATAGATAGATATTAAAATACTATGACTACCCAGAGTGTAATATCCCCTGACGGTCAAAGATGAACTTTAATACGGATCCTTAGGTAGATGACCAGGGCAGACAGCATGCACTGACCATCAGGAATTCTTTCCAGAGAACTGGCTTGTTTAACGACTCCCTTTTTAAATGTCAATATCTGAATAAATACAAAGTGCAAAATGCTTTGGATAAACAGTACGCAGAACGAAAAGATAGGCCACAGGCATGAACCGGAGAGAAATAGCTCCTTTTGCCTTTCAGTTAATAAGAAGCGTGAGCTAACTCGGTACGTGGTTGCTGTGGCGCCCAAGCAAAGAGGTGACACTTGGTGCAGAGCCAAAGCTAACAATGATTTTTTTTATTTTTTACGCCTACAGCACCTGGTCTTCCTAGGTGGTCTCCCATCCAAGTACTAACCAGGCCTGACCCTGCTTAGCTTCCGAGATCAGACGGGATCGGGCCTGTTCAGGGTGGCATGGCCGTAGACTCCAAATTCTATAAAGAAGTTCGTTATGACAAAAAAAAAATTTAAATGACCAAAATGTACAATAATGCTTAAATAAAGATGGTACATCCATATCGTGAGAATTGAGTAAGAACTGCTTACATGGGGAGTAGAATAACAGGTACTTTTAATTTTAGTCATTGTCTATCTATGAATATGCTGTTATGAACACATATTACTTACATAACTGGAAAACCAGTGCAGATGGATAAAAGGTAGCTTCTAATAACGTGAGCAGAGATGGTCCTCCGAGATGTTTTAACCCTGTACTCCTCAATGTTTTTCAGTGACAGGTACATGCTACTGTAATTATTTCCAGGTAGCTATTGTCCTAGCTTAGCTAGAGCTATTGAATATAGCATTTAGGAGGAGCTGGAAGAGAAAGCACTCACGTCGATTATTGATTCCTTTTCAGAATGCCGTGCATAACGAGTCTGTTGGCCTCGAGATACCAATATATTCTTTCTATGCATAATCTGCATAATTAATTAATTAGAAGCACGTCACCTGAAAAAAGGTGAATACAAATTATTTATGTGCTGCCTTAATCACAACGCAAAAACGTCTCGTTCCTTTTGCAGCGTTGTTAAGTGCGCCAGCTGGGACAAGAGAGGCGACGTGCTTCTCGTCCAGGAAGAAGCCAGCGAGGACACCTCGGACAGCTGACACCGTGGTCTTTGGAAAACGCACGTAGCGCGTATTCTGACTTCTGAGACACACGCGCTCGCCCCGACGGCCGATGCTGCGGCCTCTGCCCCAGGCTCACTGCGGCACCGCGCGCTGCGGGCACTTGATGAGAACCGTGCTTGGTATTTCCATACAGAGGAGAACAAAATCCGACATGCTTCCCCGTTTTGGATTTACAAAAGAAACGGAAACTTAACGGTATCAGGAGGGCTGACGCGGCTCCACACGATCAAAAGCAATAATGCCCTCATGTGTCCGGTCTCACATTGAGACCAGAGAGAGCTCGGTAACCTCAGCTTCTTCATCTGCAGAATGGGTTCTGACCCCTCCCAAGGATTCTGAAGGCTCAGCTGTTGAAAATTATGATGAATCATTCACTGATAGGAAAATAATAGAAGCTTCAAATGTTTATCATTTTACCTCTACTTGGGTAAACGCTTTTTTATAGAGCCCATCGAGGTGCTGCTGATACCGACAGCTTTTAATAGATGCAAAGTCCTTAAAACAGAAGGACTTTAAAGAATATGTATTTTCACTTTGCCTGATATGTTTCATCAGTGACAGGCATGGTAATATTTTATTTTTATATGTAACAAAGCGGTGTTACATATACTTCTATATGTAATAAAAAAATGTTATAAAATGGAATTGTTTCTAAAGAAATGTAAAAAATGAGAAAACGCCAACTCTGCAGTGAAGTAATAGCCATCCCTCGTCTGGTCCCCTGTTCCCGTCACAGGTGCGCCTTCCCCACTGCCGCACACGCCCCCAGGGGCCACTCTGGGCCTTGTGAACACCACACTCTTCTGTGCCACCCTCCCAAAAACAGCCCAAGCCCCAGCCCAAGCCCCAGCCCAGGCCGCTTCCTCTGTGCAGCCTGCGTGTGTCTCCTCCCCGTCCCCACCCCGGCCACCGTCCCCATGGAGCGATCCGGTCCCCTGCCATCTCCGCGTTTTCCACGGCCTCGTACCGTTTCCTTGACCTGCTTGACAAGAAGCACCTTGAGGACAGGGACAGTCTTTGATTCCTCATTCTAGCCTCAATAAACATTTGTTGAACCAAATACAAAGTTTTGGTTTTATTTGTAAAACTAACGTAAAGCCATCTATTTAATGCATCACTGATATGCTATGGTCGTTAAGCCAGCCTTGCAAATAAATTGAAAAATATGCTAGCCCGTGCACTTTTTAAACGGGTTTATAGGTCCTTTAACAGCTCCCATTTTCTGAGTTACCGTGTGTAATAACACAAATTCCCCGAAGTACAGCTACAACGATTAGTCTCTGTAATCTCTTGAAATCATCTCCTCTGTGCGGTCACACTGCGATGGCTTTTTTTCCTGTA